ACTATAGTCCGAGGGAGGAGTGCAAAGAAAGGGACAGCCAGGTGTGCGAGAAAGGATGGAGACGGCACAGTACAGGTTCACGAAACAATAACTTTGTCGGCACTTGTGCACGTGCTTCTCTAACTTCTGGCTGTCCCTTTCTTTGCACTCCCCCCTCGTAACAAATAGTGAAATGTGTCCATATTTTAATGATAGTTTGTTAAACAACTTTTTTATTTTTAAGACATAAATTCTGCAAATAAATCACAGAGTTTGTGTGATGTTTTGATTATGATCAGCGTTTCATTGAGTATTATATGTTTATTAGTTTTCGAGTTAGATTGCAATTCATCAGTCCGCTTTTGAGCCAAACGGACTATAGGTGTGATAATCTCCTTATCATAAAATGTCAATCCTAAATTCTGTCATTGAAAAGCCTGTTATAATCTCTCAGAAGTTCTGAAATGTTCACATCAATATATGTGACATGTGATGATCTGTGATGAGTCAGCAATCGGTACACTTTGGAGTGAAACCTGTTTCTTAGGCAATATAGCAAATACACATTCGCCAACTATAAACTGCAGTTTTGCCATTCTTGGCCAGCAAGAGTAACTGCCCTTTGTCAAAGGGAAGCAACTCCAACCCTAGGCTTTGTGATGTGTTTACTTTGAATATGTGGTCTGTCTTCATGCAGATGGTGATAATGTCAAATTGAAACCAGGTAGCGATTCAGATATATTTCAAACATTTTCAGATGTTGATGTTTATTAATTGGGGAAAAAGACCTGAGCTACAAGAGGTTTACAAGCACCCGCATGGACAGTGATACCACTGGTTCTTACTGTTGAACAATATGTCCAAAGCTGCCCAAACTGGTGAACTTGTCTCAGCTCTGACATGATTCTTTGTTAACCGTTTTATTATGAGTCGGGGCCTGCAACTGTGTATTGTTTTAGTTTTGCACATTGCGTATGATTTCAGGGTCTGAATCCAGGACGGGCGATCGGAGAGATGAAGAAAATGCTCCTGTCCTACAACAAGAGTGCTGCAGCTCATGCATGATGATACAAGCACCAGCAGACTGTCACATGCAACCACAGGTCACCAGCTTTGCTGAGTGATCCTTCAACCAGCTATACTAGGACACTCATGCCCTTGCTTCACTGTCAGTCTGACCGTAGCAATGTAGTAACACAGACAATGTAGAATAAATGTCAAATGTTGAAGACTTGCATATGTTGCAGGTTGAATTCAATGGGTTTCAGATGTTATTTGGCAATGATGTTATTTCAAGGTATTTATGACACTGGTGTGAACATATATATTTGCGATTATTTTCAGTATACATGTATGTATATGCATGAAAGGTGGTTGAGGAGGACAGTGCTATTCTGCCTCAGAGTAAGGATGATTATGCTTGTTATGTTTGTGATATTGACTTGTTCATGTATTTTACTTGTTAAGCAGGTTGAGAAGAAGACCCTTTGATGCTGCCATCAAAAATCTGTTGGACATTTGCCTAGTTAGCTGTGGACAGTAATGTTGACTTCACTAAATCCACACATTCTTCTATGCAGCTACATCTTACACGGTGGCATTGGTCAGACCGTGTACTAGGTATCTAGTCACAGCTAAGGTTAACAAAATAAGTAAAGTTTGTGTGTGGAATAAATTGATTCTCATGACCAATTTATTTTGTTCGATATGTAAATGTCACAAATGTGACACTGTAATGAATTGGTTGCTGTGACATCTGCACTATTTGTTCCAAGGTTTGCCGAGGTACGTCAGGGAGGTGTGCAGGGAACCATGCACTACATAGAGCAGCCACCTTCCCTCTCGGACAGCACTTGCAGTTGATCTTCCTTAGTGGTGTCTTCATGGCCCTCGTGGACAATCAGTCTGCTATAGACCATGTTCTAATAGATGTGGAAACACTACTGCTAGGATCTTGTGGTCAGTTACATGGCTATCTGGTGTTAATGAACTGTGTTTCACTGACTTTTGCACTATTTCGACCAATGAACAAGACATTTTACACACAACACTTGTTTTAGGTTATTGTGTAAGTGTACATATATTTGTAGTGAATAAAACTTGGTCTATGCATAACTTTTGTTTCTGAGTAGTCAGTTCTACATCCTTGGTTGGCTTCAGGTTTTTATGACCTCATGTTATTCATCCTTCTATCAGGAATGAAATCGACATTAACATGGCATGTACGATCCCACCAATGTCCTCAGAAAGTTGTTGACAGATGACATGGCAGTCATATTTAAACTTCTAATTTCCTTCTTGGATATTTGTATTATGTATAATTTGAGACCTGATGATGGGCATGTGTTTGGTTTAGCATGTAGGGTGTACATGAAATGTCTTTGTGGCTCAGATCTGCGTGTTTGTTTGATTGTGTATAAGTACTGTTGTGCATAAATATCTACCATTGCTGGAGGATCAGACAACTTTCTTCCCTTGCTTCAGCCTTGCTTCGGCCCTACTTATGGAATGAGGTTCTATGTTTTTGGTCACCTTCAAGTTATTCGAAGATGCATTTCTGAAATTCACTGCTAATATCTCAGTATGACATTTTATTCTTGTTGAAATGCAAAATAATCTTTTTTGGAAATAAATTGTTTCATGTTAATGAAAGGCTGTGTTTTATCTGAAACATCGATTGCCCACCCTGAGATAGTAAGATTAGTATTTCAATATTCAATGGCTCGAGAGCCAGTGGTACTTGTTGTTACCCTGACTGGTGCTTGTCATTAAGGGAATAGAACAAGGAGTCACTAGAATGTGTCCGTGAGGTATCCATATTCAACTGGCATGCTATATGTGGGTTTGCAATATACAATTGGTCTAGTTGACCAAGCAGTCACACACATGCAAGTAAGATGATAAACACCACTTCACCTAATCCCATCTGTTTGAAAAACATGATCTTATATACACATGTAGTAGAATACCTGCTTGAGTATATCTAAAGTTAAACAATTGTTTAGTCATGGATTCAGAAGAAAAAGTAAGATGTCCGAGTTTCCCCCCTATTGCCACACAGAAGTGCCTTTACAACACAGGCCTCTTTTGGAACTTGCAAAGATGATGGTCAGTTTTTAATGTGCCAGTTTGTAACAAGCATCAGGGGAAACCTTAACTTGATTATGGAACATTTCTTGAAAGTGGCTGGGCTGGGAAAATATTATGATGTTCGAATATTTAAATCCTGGTAAAATAATAGTGTCAGATACAATTGCTTCCCTGCATCTAAATTCCTTTGAGTTGGATTATGAAGTTCATCCATATCAGATCTAAAGGTTTCCTCCGGTACAGCTACAAGAACATATGATATTGCTTGTATAACTGGATGTTTTATAAATGAATCCCCAGTAGTAGATCTGGGAGACGATCTGTGTGCAGCTGATTTACGAGTCGAATACACGCTGAAATGCAGTCTGGTTCCCTGGGCGTGTCATCTGAACAGGAGAGAGACAAACTTCTAAAAACGGAGATCTGCTTTTAAACAGCAAAAGTACGATAAACAACACTAGTTACATACATTTTTGAGATGCTGCTCACATACATAACATCATCTTCGTAGTCAGAGGTGTCTCAGTTCGCTGTGCAGAATTGTCTAGTCTTCATGTTTGCTGTCATACCGGTCTAGTGATGCAATATATAGTAGATCAAATGTTCCAAATAATTATTCCATCCGGGATTTGTTGATATGTCCAGTGATCGTTTCTGTCTCTTCTCTTTCGGTGTCGGGGCGTTGGGGTAGCCTAGTGGTTAAAGCGTTCGCTCGTCACGCTGAACACCCGGGTTCGATTCCCTATGTGGCTTCAATGTGTGTAGCCCATTTCTGGTGTCCCCCGCCGTGATATTGCTGGAATATTGCTAAAAGCGTTGTAACCATACCCATTCACGATTCCCCACATGGGTACAATGTGTGAAGCCAATTTGTGGTTGCCCCCACCGTGATATTGCTGGAATATTGCAAAAAGCGGCGTAAAACTAAATTCAGCCATTCCTTTGTGGTGTCGGCACGAAGAACCGGGTAATGTTTACACGCAGATGCACACACCTTGTCCCAGACTAACATCTAGTCTCTGAAATCAACATTTTACAGAAGGAAAAAACGATTTCGAAATCATGTTAATAAAATATGATAAATTGGAGCCCAGAGGCTTTCTTCATCCTGAAGCTGGTAATCTAGACTTGCCACACATTCTAGACATGTATTGAGGATATTTGTTTCAGGGTCGTTGCCGTGAGACTTTGCTCGTCTCATTACTTTTATAGGGTCACGTGCAATACCTAGGAGAACCGCATGCAAGGAAATCAGCAGCTCACATCAAGGTGTCTTGCATGTGTCGCCCAAGATGTGCAATCACCGGACTTCTCATCGACTCATCCTGAACATTTAGCGTCCTCAGTCCGACACAAGGAAACAATGCAGCGTTACTTGTTTCGTACCTCGGCGAAAAAAACCACTTTTCATTTTGTGTTTAACCTCGAAATGTGAGTGAGTATGGTTTTACGCCGCTTTTTAGCAATATTCCAGCAATATCACGGCGGGTCCTCGAAATGTGTATGAATAAATATACTTATAAGTTGGAAAAGAACCCGTATGGAGCAAATCCAAGGCAACAAACCTGACCAGGTCCTTCTAGATAAACCAAATGGAATTACTGAATTTCTTGTCATTTTGACCCAAATCTGCATGACAAGACACAACATGGCAAAAATATGGCCCTAAGTTGATGGTGAGCTTAACGAGCCTGTTCTGTATCAGGATCACCCGAACCTTCTTTGCTACATTCATTAATTTTAATCCTTAAAAGAGACAAGAGCCTGTCAACATAGTGAAGCCCATTTCTGGTGCTGAATTTCGTCCTGGACTGTATGCCTGTGTCAGTTGCTTCGTCGTTAGACACAGGGAAGTTCCGCACTGCTGGGTCCTAGCCCCACACCAGACAAGGAAGGTAAATTCAGCGCCCAATAAAAGATGACCTATTTCAATTGCATGGGTTTATCCACACTGCTGTATATACATTGTAGTGAGGGAACGCTTAGTCTACTCTGGAATACTGGAGCCACGAGGTGCCGTGTCATTACTGACACTGGACATTTTCACAGTCTTATGTTCGGACAAGTGTCCGTAGCACCTGACGAATATTGACTCTTCTTGTTACGTACGATACAGCAAACTACACGCAGGAGACGGAAACTAAATGACTGAATATTTCTAAAGCAGGAAGTAAATTTGCGTCGCGTCACGGCTGGGAGATCGGGCTCTGAAACACCATGCCGAATTGGCGAGCAGTGGCAACTAGCTCGGTGGTCCTGGGGGTTGGGTGTGTCCTGTCAGGATTCCTGACCACTACCTCGCAGCAGTAAGTACAGTTTGTCTAATTCCTGTTTGTTAAAGCACAAGCATATCACTACATACAGTACAGCTTGCCTACTTCATGTTTGTTAAAACATAAGTATATCACTACATACAGTGCAGCTCGCCTACTTCCTGTTTCTTAAAACACAAGTATATCACCACAGATAGTACAGCCTTTCTACTTCATGTCTGTTAAAAACAAGCATATCACTACAGATAGTACAGCTTTTCTACTTCATGTTTGTTAAACACAAGTATATCACCACAGATAGTACAGCTTTTCTACTTCATGTTTGTTAAACACAAGTATATCACTACAGATAGTACAGCTTTTCTACTTCATGTTTGTTAAACACAAGTATATCACTACAGATAGTACAGCTTTTTTACTTCATGTTTGTTAAAATCAAGCATATCACTACATACAGTACAGCTTGCCTGCTTCATGTCTGTTAAACACAAGTATATCACCACAGAAAGTACAGCTTTTCTACTTCATGTTTGTTAAACACAAGTATATCACCACAGATAGTACAGCTTTTCTACTTCATGTTTGTTAAACACAAGTATATCACTACAGATAGTACAGCTTTTCTACTTCATGTTTGTTAAACACAAGTATATCACTACAGATAGTACAGCTTTTCTACTTCATGTTTGTTAAACACAAGTATATCACTACAGATAGTACAGCTTTTTCTACTTCATGTTTGTTAAACACAAGTATATCACTACAGATAGTACAGCTTTTCTACTTCATGTTTGTTAAACACAAGTATATCACTACAGATAGTACAGCTTTTTTACTTCATGTTTGTTAAACACAAGTATATCACTACAGATAGTACAGCTTTTCTACTTCATGTTTGTTAAAACACAAGCATATCACTACAGATAGTACAGCTTTTCTACTTCATGTTTGTTAAACACAAGTATATCACTACATACAGTACATCTTTTCTACTTCATGTTTGTTAAAACACAAGCATATCACTACATACAGTACATCTTTTCTACTTCATGTTTGTTAAACACAAGTATATCACTACAGATAGTACAGCTTGCCTACTTGTTTGTTATGACTACTTCCTGGCTAAAATACTAAACGTTAGTGTGTTGGTCACAATAGTAATCAATTTCTTAAGTCAGCCCCCAAAATAGGTCTGTATGTGAACAATGTGTGGACGCCATGTCTACTATACACTAACCGGAAATTGGCGTTGTAGTAGACATGGCGTCCACATCTAGTACAACGTGTCTAATTTACATCTACTACTGTGTTTTGGTACAAGAATGTCAAGGCCCGGGATTCCCATAACAGATGTCTAGTATGGAAGCTGAGGTTTGTATTAAAGCTGCCATTTAATGTCAGTTGCTTATTACCGCCATCTGGGGGCGGTGGGGTAGCCTAGTGGTAAAAACGTTCGCTCCTCACGTCCTTCTCGAAAACCCATTCTCACTCTTTTTGCGGCGTAAAACGAAAGTCACTCACTATTGCCGCCATCTCATTATTTAATCTATATAATAAAATAAGGATATAATTCGCGACTAAATCTTTCCTTCACTAGGATGTCCGTGTTGACACGTGTCTTTACTTCCTCTCATATTACATGTCAGTATATATGCGGAGTAAGGTTCATAGTTTATCGACAGTTTGTTGGGGTGTATTCAGAGGGAAGAAATATTCCCTGAACAACACATGATACAATCGTCCGTACTTGTATTCCACTTTATGAAAATATTCAAGCAATATGACGATTTTGTAAATTGACGGTCTGCAAATTTGGTGGTCTGGACCAGATAATCCAGTGATTGACATAGTGAGCATCTATTTACTCTATTGCGATACGATGACAGGTATTAACCAAGTCCGAGAGCCTGACAACCCGATCCTGGTTGTCACCTCTATACGACAAACATGGGTCTCTCCATTACATTACAATGTACAAGGGTATTCTAGATCAGTCTTGCACTGCACCCAGACAGGGCCCAGAAAATGTTCCGGTGCATTTGTTTGTGTCAAGGATGTCATAAGGCATAAACATTTTACCTGTGTCGTTTGGCTGTGGATTCTAGTTGCCAGCTTTGTCATCCAACATGTCAGCGGTAACACACGTGATATTGCAGATTACTCTTTCTGAGACGGGTAAACATTCTGGTACACAGTTGGGGTTGAATCCCACCCGGGATTCTGAGAGAGGCACATAATCGCCAGGACGAAAGTAAATAACATAACCGCACCAGCCACCAAGCCTCGGTGTAATCCCAACCGTAACATTTGTTACATTTGACCACTTTCAAAAAACTATCTTACTAAGTGACTCCAGAGCATGGCTTATGTGAAACACACATTCGACTGACGTGAAGGTGACTGCTAAATGCATAACTGACCTTATGGCATTGAAATGAATGTCTCGACTGGAATATGCGTCCAGGAAAGACTCTAGAACACTTACCAACAGTCGTGCTGCCTCTTATCATCAACATGTATTTGATTTGCCAGATGGGCTGCACACGCCAACACTACAGGACGGCCTCGGTCACGGCTGCACACGTTCGACCACTCCTTCTTCATGGTAAGATCACCCATCTACCCACTCACCTACCTTACCAACCACACCACACCAACCACCCACCTACCTACCCACCCACCCACCGACCTACCTACCTACCTACTACCTTACTGCCTACCCATCTACCTGCCTACCTACCCACCCGCCACCCACCACCTATCTCCCACCCACCCATCTACCTATCTCCCACCCACCCACCTTACTGCCTACCCATCTACCTACCACCCAACTACCTACCTACCAACCTACCTACCCACCCCACCTACCTACGTACCCACCAGCCTAAACACCGACCCAACCTACCTATCTACCTACCTACCTACATACCTATCTACATTCATACATACCTATCTACCCACCTACCTAAACACCCACCCAACCTACCTACCCACCCATCTACCCACCTACCTTGCTACCAACGTACCTACCCACCCCACCTACCTACCTACCTACCCATCAACCTAAACACCCACCCACCCACCTACTTGCCTACCTACTTACGGTACCAACATACCCACCTACCACCAATCTACCCACCACCTACATACCCACCCACCCAGCTGTTACCTGCCTGCCCACCATATTACACTTACGGTACCAACCTACCCACCCACCCACTTACGGTACCAACATGCCCACCTACCTACCCACCCATCTACCCACCTACCTACATACCCACCCAGGTATTTAGTTACCTACCTACCTACCTAACTAACACACACACACACACACACACACACACACACACACACACACACACACACACACACACACACACACACACACACACACACACACACACACACACACACACACACACACACACACACACACACACACACACACACACACACACACACACATACATACATACATACCTGGGTGCGGTGGGGGTAGCATAGTGGTTAAAGCGTTCGCTCGTCACGCCGAAGACCCGTATTCGATTCTCCACAGGGGTACAAGGTGTGAAGCCCATACCCGCCGTGATATTGCTGAAATATTGCTAAATGCGGCGTAAAACCCAACTCACTCACTCACCAACCTAACTACTGACCTAATTACCTATATTTACCTACCTACTTACAGTACCCACCTACCCACCAACTTCGTATTTTCGCGTGTGAGAACATCTCGGTAAATCACACGTACATAGCCTTCTTGACATGTCGCCACGCAATGTAATATTAACGTCTGTTTCAGCAAACATTCCTATTCCTAGGCCAACTGTCGTGCCTTGGACTTCACTCCATCATACGTAAAATACGCGGTCCGCAACCTGCTGTAGAGGAGGACCAGGTGCCAGATGGAAGAGTCGCGGCCCAGAGGCGGGCTAGAGCAAGAAATAAGATGGAAGAAAATAGAAAGCAAAACCCTCAAGTTAGGAATGAAAGGTCCATAGAGGAGGAGCTCGTCGAAGCAGCAGTGGACGTGAGGGTGCGTGGGAGAGAAGACAAAACCGTAAAGGACGCTGCGGGTAAGTCATCATCAACATGTCTTCATCGTCTTGTAGATATCGGACGAGCTGGCATATTACTTCAGATCTATTTATGGCGGATTTTATAATTACACTTGACATGAAATACCGTTTGTTTTTGTCCTTTTGTAAACTTAAATAATCAGAGACAATTAATGGGACCACTTTGCTGAATACCAAGAGATTTTTATAAAGGGAAATATGCCACTGTTTATACTCAGCAATACAATTGGCGGCCAGGAGGAAACATGAAGTCCTTCCCCAAACCATTGTGAGGAACTAGGGGAGAGTGTGCGCCCAGCACCGATGCTGGTCAATAAAGGCGACTACATTTGCCAGTTTGTTTGTTGTAGTTACTTTCCTTTGCAAGAGTGAGTGAGTTTAGTTTTACGCCACTTTAGCAATATTCCAGCAATATCACGGCTGGGGACACCAGAGGTGGCCTTCACACTTTGTTCCCATGTGGGGAATCGAACCCGGGTCTTCGGCTTGACGTGCGAACGCTTTAACAACTAGGCACCACCACCCTTCGCAAGATAGGAATCTGAGTTTCGTTAGTTTCGTTTCTTTGAGTTGTTTTCAAAAAACGTACCTTCATTCAAATGAAAACAATTAATTAAAGTTCGTAACTGAAAATACATCCACGTTACAATAACGTTTGTTTAGGGGATATTATTGAATTTATAAAACAACTTTGTTAATCAAAACATGCTCTTCCATAATGTGTTCACGTCATAATGTGTAAGTGAATGCTGAATCGACGTCAAGCCAGCATGGTATTCAGTTGTTTTGTTTCGGAAAAATATGATTGCTTCCGTCACATTACGGGAGTGATAATCTTCGTTACATAGGGGAAGATGTCCGTGGACAGGTTCAGGCAGCCGGGGATGGAGTTATCGGGGGTCCCGTGGTCGGCGTTCAGGTGGAGGAGACGGAGGAGGGCCTGAGACAGAGGCGCCAGAGGGAACAGAGAGAACAGATGATACGAGAAGCAGGCCCCAGGAGAGGACCCAGGCTGGCCAGAAAAATTAAACCAAAGGACAAAAAAGGAATACAACAAGATTATATTTCTGCCATGTGCGCTCTGCGACTTTGCAAGAACAGGGTTACTGTTTATTGGACTGCGTCAGACATTCCCTAGTAGTTTCATCATGCTGCAGGGTGAGTGGTATGTGGGATCTACCCCACCCAAACACATTTGGGAACCGTCCTCTACCATTATCAAGTTTTATGAAACTGTACGTATTTCATTCGATATCAATAAAAAGGTAAAGGGGTTTTAATAAATACAATACCATACAACAGCGATTGGACAATAACACAGCGAGGATTCCATCTGAGATTATTTCATGAGGACAAGCTAGAGACATGTTTGAATCGAACTCATTATTACGTGATATTATAATTGTTTGAAGGTGTTGGGTTGCTGGCAACATGTACATTGACCGTGGCGTTTGTTGGCCGCGAAAAGACCGTGCGTAAACTGCAGTGGGTTGGTGCCTCGATATGTGCTGTGGGACTGGCGGTGATCGGCCTGAGGGACTATGTGTGGGGGAAGGACAACACATATGACCCGTACGGGATAGCTGCCGGTGAGTTATTGTGCGGTATGTAAACATGTAAAACATTGAATAATTGTTTGCAAAAAGTCAAATTGTTGGATGTTTATTTTCTTGACTGAATGTAGCCTTCGGGATGGTATGCTCTTAATGACGGGAGCGAGACGCCTAGCTAGATTCACAATCAAAATGTGTCTGCCAGTTCCAATCCCAGATTCTGACTGATGGTGATTCGCGATTTCTCAGCACCATGCACCACTTTACCAAACTGTGATACGCATCACTCTTCTCCTACCTAAAGCTGACACACACCAGTAAGGCTACAGTACTACTGAGATCAACATTGGATCCAACTCTCTCACTAGTGACTATGGTCGGTTTTTTCAGGGGACCTGCTGATTGTCATGGCACAGCTGATGACGTCAATTCAGGTGATCCTTGAGCAGCGCTTTGTGAAGAAACACGATATAGATCCACTTGTGGCTGTTGGACTTGAAGGTATGCAGTGAATATAAGCAGGATGTGAAACACAAGGTATCAGAGCGCCACGGTAAAGCCTATATTTGTTTCACGTGTACTCGATGTCACACACTACTGGTATGTTTATTGTTCTGTGGGGTTTGTAAGCTCAGAGGGGTTTTGAAGAACTGCTTTTTCGCCAACGTGCAGAGTAAACGGCATGGGCGGATCCAAGAATGGAAAGGGAAGGACCCCCTGACCCCCCTTGGCTCCGCCAACGCCAAAAATCTTCAATGTGGTCATAAGTCATTTTCCCCTGAAACCCACCCACCCCCAACCCTTGGATCCGCCCATGAACGGGTGTGTTATATACCATATAATGGTTTTAATTTATCCCAGAGTAGATGTGAATATACACACTGCTACAAATCACATTACTGTTGTTGTGAAAATTTGAAATGCAAGGGGCGGTGGTGTAGCCTAATGACTAAAGAACCGGGTTCGATTCCCCACAATGTGTGAAGCCCATTTCTGGTGTCCCCCGCCGTGATATTGCTGGAATAATGATAAAAGCGGCGTAAAGCCATAGTCACTCATTCACTCACAATTAAAGTCCAATTTCTTGAAGGCGTGCTTATGAATAATCAAAAAGCTCATTCCGACCTTAAGTTTCTTTCAGAAGTGTCTACCAGGATCACGGCTCTTTGTGACATGGAGCTACGTTGTAATGTCGAAACCTCTCATTCTGAATTCCATGCTGTATTATCCATAGTGTTTATTATTACGTCAGAAATATGATGCTTAAATCATCACAATTTCACTCGCAACATACAGCATCAGAAACTGTAACCTCTTAATGATTTGTAGGTATACACAGGGCACTGTAACCTCTGCTATTTGTAGGTATACACAGGACACTAACCTCTGTGTCAATTGTAGGTATACGCAGGACACTGTAACCTCTGTGTCAATTGTAGGTATACACAGGACACTAACCTCTGTGTCAATTGTAGGTATACACAGGACACTGTAACCTCAGTGTCAATTGTAGGTATACATAGGACACTGTAACCTCTGTGTCAATTGTAGGTATACACAGGACACTAACCTCTGTGTCAATTGTAGGTATACACAGAATACTAACCTCTGTGTCAATTGTAGGTATAAACAGGACACTAAACTCTGTGTCAATTGTAGGTATACACAGGACACTGTAACCTCTGTGTCAATTGTAGGTATACACAGGACACTAACCTCTGTGTCAATTGTAGTTATACACAGGACACTGTAACCTCTGTGTCAATTGTAGGTATACACAGGATACTGTAACCTCTGTGTCAATTGTAGGTATACACAGGACACTGTAACCTCTGTGTCCATTGTAAGTTACCCAGGACACTGTAACCTCTGTGTCAATTGTAGGTATACACAGGACACTAACCTCTGTGTCTATTGTAGGTATACACAGGATACTGTAACCTCTGTGTCAATTGTAGGTATACACGGGACACTGTAACCTCTGTGTCAATTGTAGGTATACACAGGACACTGTAACCTCTGTGTCAATTGTAGGTATACACAGGACACTGTAACCTCTGTGTCAATTGTAGGTATACACAGGACACTAACCTCTGTGTCTATTGTAGGTATACACAGGATACTGTAACCTCTGTGTCAATTGTAGGTATACACGGGACACTGTAACCTCTGTGTCAATTGTAGGTATACACAGGACACTGTAACCTCTGTGTCAATTGTAGGTATACACAGGACACTGTAACCTCTGTGTCAATTGTAGGTATACACAGGATACAGTAACCTCTGTGTCAATTGTAGCTATACACAGGACACTGTAACCTCTGTGTCAATTGTAGGTATACACAGGACACTGTAACCTCTGTGTCAATTGTAGGTATACACAGGACACTAACCTCTGTGTCTATTGTAGGTATACACAGGATACTGTAACCTCTGTGTCAATTGTAGGTATACACGGGACACTGTAACCTCTGTGTCAATTGTAGGTATACACAGGACACTGTAACCTCTGTGTCAATTGTAGGTATACACAGGACACTGTAACATCTGTGTCCATTGTAAGTTACACAGGACACTGTAACCTCTGTGTCAATTGTAGGTATACACAGGACACTGTAACCTCTGTGTAAATTGTAGGTATACACAGGGCCCTGTATACTCTGTGTCAATTGTAGGTATACACAGGACACTAACCTCTGTGTCAATTGTAGGTATACACAGGACACTGTAACCTCTGTCTCAATTGTAGGTATACACAGGACACTGTAACCTCTGTGTCAATTGTAGCTATACACAGGGCCCCCTGTATACTATGTGTCAATTGTAGGTATACACAGGACACTGTAACCTCTGTGTAAATTGTAGGTATACACAGGGCCCTGTATACTCTGTGTCAATTGTAGGGATACACAGGACACTAACCTCTGTGTCAATTGTAGGTATACACAGGACACTAACCTCTGTGTCAATTGTAGGTATACACAGGACACTAACCTCTGTGTCAATTGTAGGTATACACAGGACACTGTAACATCTGTGTCAATTGTAGGGATACACAGGACACTAACCTCTGTGTCAATTGTAGGTATACACAGGATACTGTAACCTCTGTGTCAATTGTAGGTATACACAGGACACTGTAACCTCTGTGTCCATTGTAGGTATACACAGGACACTGTAACCTCTGTGTCAATTGTAGGTATACACAGGACACTGTAACCTCTGTGTCAATTGTAGGTATACACAGGACACTAACCTCTGTGTCAATTGTAGGTATACACAGGACACTGTAACCTCTGTGTCAATTGTAGGTATACACAGGACACTGTAACCTCTGTGTCAATTGTAGGTATACACAGGACACTAACCTCTGTGTCAATTGTAGGTATACACAGGATACTAACCTCTGTGTCAATTGTAGGTATACACAGGACACTGTAACCTCTGTGTCAATTGTAGGTATACACAGGACACTGTAACCTCTGTGTCAATTGTAGGTATACACAGGACACTGTAACCTCTGTGTCAATTGTAGGTATACACAGGACACTGTAACCTCTGTGTCAATTGTAGGTATACACAGGACACTGTAACTGTAACCTCTGTGTCAATTGTAGGTATACACAGGACACTGTAACCTCTGTGTCAATTGTAGGTATACACAGGACACTGTAACCTCTGTGTCAATTGTAGGTATACACAGGACACTAACCTCTGTGTCAATTGTAGGTATACACAGGACACTGTAACCTCTGTGTCAATTGTAGGTATACACAGGACACTGTAACCTCTGTGTCAATTGTAGGTATACACAGGACACTGTAACCTCTGTGTCAATTGTAGGTATACACAGGACACTGTAACCTCTGTGTCAATTGTAGGTATACACAGGACACTGTAACCTCTGTGTCAATTGTAGGTATACACAGGATACTGTAACCTCTGTGTCAATTGTAGGTATACACAGGACACTGTAACCTCTGTGTCAATTGTAGGTATACACAGGACACTGTAACCTCTGTGTCAATTGTAGGTATACACAGGACACTGTAACCTCTGTGTCAATTGTAGGTATACACAGGACACTGTAACCTCTGTGTCAATTGTAGGTATACACAGGACACTGTAACCTCTGTGTCAATTGTAGGTATACACAGGACACTGTAACCTCTGTGTCAATTGTAGGTATACACAGGACACTAACCTCTGTGTCAATTGTAGGTATACACAGGACACTGTAACCTCTGTGTCAATTGTAGGTATACACAGGACACTGTAACCTCTGTGTCAATTGTAGGTATACACAGGACACTGTAACCTCTGTGTCAATTGTAGGTATACACAGGACACTGTAACCTCTGTGTCAATTGTAGGTATACACAGGACACTGTAACCTCTGTGTCAATTGTAGGTATACACAGGACACTGTAACCTCTGTGTCAATTGTAGGTATACACAGGGCCCTGTATACTCTGTGTCAATTGTAGGTATACACAGGACACTAACCTCTGTGTCAATTGTAGGTATACACAGGACACTGTAACCTCTGTGTCAATTGTAGGTATACACAGGACACTGTAACCTCTGTGTCAATTGTAGGTATACACAGGACACTGTAACCTCTGTGTCAATTGTAGGTATATAACATTGTAGGTATACACAGGACACTAACCTCTGTGTCAATTGTAGGTATACACAGGACACTGTAACCTCTGTGTCAATTGTAGGTATACACAGGACACTGTAACCTCTGTGTCAATTGTAGGTATACACAGGACACTGTAACCTCTGTGTCAATTGTAGGTATACACAGGACACTAACCTCTGTGTCAATTGTAGGTATACACAGGATACTGTAACCTCTGTGTCAATTGTAGGTATACACAGGACACTGTAACCTCTGTGTCAATTGTAGGTATACACAGGACACTGTAACCTCTGTGTCAATTGTAGGTATACACAGGACACTGTAACCTCTGTGTCAATTGTAGGTATACACAGGATACAGTAACCTCTGTGTCAATTGTAGGCTATACACAGGACACTGTAACCTCTGTGTCAATTGTAGGTATACACAGGACACTGTAACCTCTGTGTCAATTGTAGGTATACACCGGACACTAACCTCTGTGTCAATTGTAGGTATACACAGGATACTGTAACCTCTGTGTCAATTGTAGGTATACACGGGACACTGTAACCTCTGTGTCAATTGTAGGTATACACAGGACACTGTAACCTCTGTGTCAATTGTAGGTATACACAGGACACTGTAACATCTGTGTCCATTGTAAGTTACACAGGACACTGTAACCTCTGTGTCAATTGTAGGTATACACAGGACACTGTAACCTCTGTGTCAATTGTAGGTATACACAGGGCCCTGTATACTCTGTGTCAATTGTAGGTATACACAGGACACTAACCTCTGTGTCAATTGTAGGTATACACTGTAAGGACACAGTAACAGTAACCTCTGTGTCAATTGTAGGTATACACAG